ACGGAACATGAGTCGCTATATCAAACCCAAGAAACGCTTACAAAGGATCTCGCATCCTTGAATGCCTATTTTATAAAATGGAGACTTCAACCCAGTGCAAATAAGACAGAAGTGGCTACCTTCCATCTTAATAACAAGCTGGCGAATACTGAAATAAGCGTCCAGTTTGGTAGCACCACTCTGAGTAATAACAAATATCCAAAATATCTGGGGATTACTCTAGACCGTACACTCTCATTTCGAAGAAAACACCTAGAAAATGTTGCTGGGAAAATCAGAACACGAAACAACATTATACAAAAACTTTGTGGTACTTCGTGGGGTGCAAAAGCAACAATACTTCGGATCTCCGCCCTTGGTCTGGTATTCAGTGTGGCAGAGTATTGTGCACCCCTGTGGTTGAATAGCCACCACACAAATCTCGTAGACAGACAGCTGAACAACACCATGCGGCTGATTACAGGGACAATCAGATGCACACCTAGTTACTGGCTTCCAGTTCTGAGTAACATCCTACCTCCAAATCTACGCAGAAACGAGGCTCTTCTTAGAGAATTTGATAAAATAATAGCTACCCCAACGCTACCTGTTCATGAAACACTTCCTGCTTTACAGGTGAATAGACTTAAGTCGAGGAATCCACCTTTGCGAACAGCTGAACAACTAAAAAGCAGTAACTACAATTCTCGAGAACAGTGGCTTCAGTTATGGAGAGAAATGGCCGATGCGCACCTATATTCCTGGTTCAAACATAACTATTGCCAGACACCGTGGGGAAAAATACCTTCTCCAGAATGTGATTGCGGATCCCCTCACCAAACCATCCATCACATAACTAGAGAGTGCAACCTACGCGCTTATGGTGAAGACTGGAGGGACTTTCTGGAGGCTTCTCCATCAGCTTTGGAATGGATAGGGCATCTAGATGTTAATATATAGTGTTCGTAAATACGTTTTTTATGTTGTCTTTTTATATTATACTTGTTTTTTTTTATATTTACATTGTAATGTTTTCATTTACATTGTAGTTTATTTTATGTCTATGTTTAAGTGTCTGGTTTTCTTGCATGTATATGAGCCATACGATAAATAAATAAATAAATTTCAAAAGCAACGATTTTTCGTTTCATTGCCAACTTCAATGTCCAGGTCTCTGAGGCATAAGTGGCAATGGGGAAAATAAGGGCTCCTAGTAGTCTGAGTTTGTTGCTAATTGAAATGGCTGAATCTTTCCATATTTTATTGAGTTTGGTCATGGAATTGCGTGCTATACACAGTCTTCTCTTGATTTCTGCGTCACATCCTCCTTTGTTTGATATCAAGGAGCCTGTACTGTTACTGCAATGACATAAATCCGAAAATAGAAACAATAGAAGTTGTACGTAACAGTGTTATTTTCAGTGTTGATATTCGATGAAAAATTAGAGAAAAAAGCGGAAAATATGAAGTGCCTTGCGCTCGGCTAGGCATAATGGATGGAATAACGTCGTTTTATAGGGCAGTAAAATCGGCGACATAAAACCGGCGCAGTTTCTCACGCGAATCGTTAAAGTCACGGAGGAGGAACGTTAGACAGCGCCGCGCTCCGGAAAAAATGCGCCGCAATAAAAAAATCATATAAATGTGCCTCTCCTCGGCGAAATGCCGTTAATAATTCAGGTGCCCGTAAAATTATTATCTTTAAAGGCATAAGCGGCATAAAGAATGTCCGATAGTCCAATGGAAAGAGATTCTTATAATTCAACCTCTTTAAAATAAATAATATTGATCAGTTGGTAGTATTGTTATGTGTTCTAGACAGTGGCGGATACAGAGGGGGGGCCCATGGGGCCAAGGCCTCTCCTAAAATCTATAAATTGGGTTAATTATTAGGCTTTTGGGTTAAAAATGGCGCTCTAATAAGCATATTCTACATTACTTTTTATTTGGGCCCCCCCCTAAAAAATATCCCGGGCCCCCCCTAAAATAAATTCCTGTATCCGCCCCTGGTTCTAGACAAAAAATAGTTATTTTTTATACTAGACGATAAAATGGTAATTTATCGTCGTTTATAAAACAATGTCAGTTTGGAGTAAATATTTTTTAATTCTCTTTCGTCTCGATTGCTGATTGAATTGGATCCAGAAATGGCTCAAAACGAAATAAGTAAATTACCAACAGATATTCAGGCTGAGGTGACAAACGCCATATCCAAACTACTTCCATTTAAATCCTGAATAACTTATGAAAGGGAATAGAAACATTTTCAAAAATGGAAGCAATTAAAAAACGTGCGAGAAGAAATAAAGTTTTTATCCTATCCTCGCTGTTAAAGTATTATTTTATCTACTTATTATTTTTGATAGATACAAGGCAATTTTAAGAGTTGCTACGGAAAAAAAGTTAATTTTAAATACCCTATATATTTTTAGTACATTATGCCGGAATGTTATCATTATGCAGATATTAAAATTCTGTCGGCAGCTCTTTGACCAAGAAATTATTAAAATATAGTCAATATCATCGAATTATTCTGATTAAATTTCATTAAATTAAAATCCCATAAAAATCAACAGGAAATAAATTATTGTATCTCTAAACTCCAACTGACAACAGCAAAGTTAATAATAATGAATAACTTGAAATAGCCCGGCGCTCTCGCATATACCTAGTTAAAATCGTTTACGTCAATTAAAAAACCATCTCTGGAAACTGTCACTTGTCATCTGTCAAAGCGGCGGCCGACAAGCTAGCGGATACAGTGGCGCCGCCACAGGCTAATAAATTCAGTTAGTTACTTTGCGATAATGCCTAATAGGAACGGGACTTCGTTATATATAAAATTATTCCGTTTTATTTATAGATAGAGCAAAATAAATAAATAAAATTTATATAGGAATTCTTCGGCCAGGTGACAACGGCTTTCTTGTGCTCGTTTTATATGTATGTACGTATTATAGCAAAATATCGAAATTGAGAATTTATATGTCCGTACGCTGAACAGTTGCTGCTTCCGTTTTACTTTTGATGAAAGTTAAGGTGGGTCGTAGACGATAGGACCAGTTGGAAGGCAAGTCAGTGACTCAGACGGGTTATATTTTTTTTTTCGACAAAAGTCAGTAAAATTTTGATTTTTACGCTCTCAGTGTAGAGCAAACAACATTTGTTTTCATTATTGGGTTTTAACTTTATTACAGTCAAGAGATGAGGGGGTGCGAGACTGATCTTGGTCTTGCGGTCTTGGTCTTGGTATTGGCTATAGGCCAAGATAGTTCTATAGATCTGCAAGACTGATTACTGTTATGTATGAAAAAAATGTCCATTTTTTACTATTTTTTATTCATTTTCAAAAGCCTTAGAAAACTAGTAAACACAGTTATAAAATTGTTAATATTTCAGTATTTGTAGGAAATTTTATGTAGATTCAGAATATATACACCTTTAAAGGATTAGATGCTTTGGTTTTGTGAGAATATTAATTTTCTGAATCCTTGTTTTTGGTCTATTTTTTACTCATTTTCAAAGGCTTTACAAAAATAGTAAACACAGTTATAAAATTATTAAAATTTCATTATTTATAGTAAATTTTATGTATATTCAGAATATATACATCTTTAAAGGTTTAGACATCTTCGTTTTGTGAGAAAATTAATTTTCTGAACCTTTGTTTTTGGTTTATTTTTTACTCATTTTCAAAGACCTTAGAAAAATAATAAACATAGTCCTAAAATTATGTAAATATCAGTATTTGTAGAAAATTTTATGTAGATTCAGAATATATACATCTTTAAAGGTTTAGAAATCTTGATTTTGTGAGAAAATTAATTTTCTGAACCCTTGTTTGTGGTCTATTTTGTACTCATTTTCAAACGCCTTACAAAAATAGTAAACACACTACTAAAATTATGAAAATATCAGTATTTGTAGGAAATTTTATGCAGACTCAGAATATATGCACCTTTAAACGATTAGATACCTCGGTTTTGTGAGAAAATTAATTTTCTGAACCTTTGTTTTTGGTCTATTTTTTACTCATTTTCAAAGACCTTAGAAAAATAATAAACATAGTCCTAAAATTATGGAGATATCAGTATTTATAGGAAATTTTATGTAGATTCAGAATATATACATCTTTAAAAGTTTAGATATCTTGATTTTGTGAGAAAATTAATTTTCTGAACCCTTGTTTTTGGTCTATTTTGTACTCATTTTCAAACGCCTTACAAAAATAGTAAACACAGTACTAAAATTATGAAAATATCAGTATTTGTAACAAATTTTATGCAGACTCAGAATATATGCACCTTTAAAGGATTAGATACCTCGGTTTTGTGAGAAAATTAATTTTCTGAACCTTTGTTTTTGGTCTATTTTTTACTCATTTTCAAAGACCTTAGAAAAATAATAAACATAGTCCTAAAATTAGGGAAATATCAGTATTTGTAGGAAATTTTATGTAGATTCAGAATATATACATCTTTAAAGGTTTAGATATCTTGATTTTGTGAGAAAATTAATTTTCTGAACCCTTGTTTTTGGTCTATTTTTTATTCATTTTCAAAGGCTTTAGAACATAGTCCTAAAATTATGAAGATATTATCATTTGTAGGAAATTTTATGTAGATTCAGAATATATGCACCGTTAAAGGATTAGATACCGTGGTTTTGTGAGAAAATTAATTTTCTGAGCCCTTGTTTTTGGTCTATTTTTTACTCATTTTCAAAGGCTTTAGAAAAATAGTAAACATAGTCCTAAAATTATGAAAATATCAACATTTTTAGGAAATTTTATGTAGATTCATAATATATACACCGTTAAAGGCTTAGATACCTTGGTTCTGTGAGAAAATTAATGGTTCTGAACCTTGTTTTTGGTCGTTTTCTAAAGAGTTAATATTTTCCAAATCTCTTATAAAAATACTAAACAAAATCAGAAAATTTTGAAAAATTCAGTATTTATAGGATTTTTCTTTAATAACCTTCACATTTCCTAAAGTTTCGTTATTTTTGATCATTTTCAGGTGAAAATATGGTTCCAGAACCGACGGAGCAAGTACAAAAAAATGATGAAGGCAGCTCAGGTTACGGGAGGTCCCAACAACAACGGCAATGGTGCAGCTCACGCCGGATTATTGGGGGGCAACGGTACCATGGCCCCCTCAAGTCCCGGACAGCAGAGCCAGAATATGATGCAAGGTAGGATTAAATTGGAAGGTAAAATATACTTTCTCTGCTCTATATTTTGTAGTCTAAGACCCAATATTGCACCTTCCGGCAAAATTTGAGGTTAAAACTTTATTTAGAATCTCAAAATTAATGGTTTCAATTACCGTAGAAGTTTGTTCCTCTGATTTTAATGTAATCATTCAGAACTCAGAACGTTAAAATTATTGACTGTACTTTTCAATTAGTAAAAATAGTTAAAAAACTTTTAAATTTTACCACTAATTATAATTGAAGACGCTATTGCGCATGTATCATCACCTGTCAAAAGAGAGAACCATTCCAATTTTATCAATGATTAAAGATTGTAAGGACATGTAAGGCCCATATACCGGCTGCAGCAGAATTTGTGACCTTAGAGGTCATTCTTTTGATGGCAAACAATGAGTCATCATTTGGTCACCAGCGATAATTTTAGCGATTTAATAGTTTGTGTGTAGTGAACTAAATTTATGGCTGTTAGCAGAAACAATATTCCGAACACCAGAATATAATTAAATGGAGAGGTCATCAAGCAGGTCACACAATTTAAATATTTGGGATGCATGGTTAACGAAACGTGGGATCCAGATTAGGAGATCAAATGCAGGATCGAACAAGCAACTACTATTCTACTTTTCTGAGAGAGACTGCGAAGATTTCTCGCAGATAGGAACTTGAACTTCGGCCTTAGATACAGAATGGTGAAGTGCTGTCTGGTCCGTTTTGTTATATGGTGTGGAAGCATGGACACTGAAGCAACAATAAACCGAATTGAAGCCTTCGAAATGTGGACCCTACGACGAATGCTAAGGGTACCCTGGGTCGACCGTGTGAGGAATGAAGACATTCTCAGAAGAGCTGGTCTGGAACAACGTGAACTCTTCGAAATCATCAAGAAGAGGAAAATAGCCTTTTTGGGATACATACTACGTGGAGAACGCTATCACTTTCAGCGTCTGATTCTCCAGGGTAAAATAGAGGGGGGCAAAAGGGGAATAAGCCGAAGGTAGCTATCCTGGCTGAGAAATATTCGTCATTGTACAGACACTCCAAGTCGCTGCAGTTAATAGAACAATCTGATGAGGAAGAAAAAGATGAACGCCTACGCAGGAATCTGCACGGCACTTTAAGAAGTGTAGTGAACTTTGCATAAACTTTATTACAATGCTGATTAGTTGTTCAGCTTTCAAGTGTAAAAGCAGCAGCGATAAGAAAGAGCCAGGAGTTACCACTCCAACTTTTTAGCGTTTTCTTATCGAATTCGATAATTATTTTTCTGATATTATATGTACTTGATGTGTCCTATACGTCGATACTAGTTTTGTACCTTTTGTTAACATTTTGTTACATCACCGTATACACCATAGGCGTAGTCAAAACATTTATCAAAAATACACTTGCGTGCATAGAAATCGGCCCAAGGCAAACTTTTGAAGTTAACTATACATTTTTTAGAATCTATTTGTCAGATTAAGGAAAAATACATGCTGTTTGAAAGACAATTTCATATTCTTTGAAAAGAGTTTAGAGATATTAATTTGTATTTTCGTTTCTTTGGATTAAAAATTACGCATGAATCAAATTATCGTTTTTTATTACTAAGAGGTATGTTATTATTTGTTTATTTATTTATGGACAATTAATTAAACTAAATTTTCAATAATCACACGCTCTTCGAACCGCTCCGCGTGTCATATGTAGTTGCCGAGCTACAGCTCTCTGTTGAAGTCCATTTTCGATTAAACCGATTACTTGGGCGGCTTTTCCGGTGATGTATGCATTAAATTGAAACACTAATCAAATAATGAAACACAACTAATCAAAGAATAAAAGAACAATGTGAAAATTTCGATTACAAAGGTAATAATTGCAATATTTGACAAGTTTATTATTCTTATTGTCACCACAACCCAAATACCTTTTTTTACCTTTTTTTTGTTTACCCATTGGTACGAATATAAACGATAAGTACCCTAGGTAAATTTACGCTCATTTGTCTTTGAAACAGCTCATATTTTTTACTTGCTCTGATAAATAGATTCTAGAAGTCACAGTTAAAACGAAAAGTTCACAGTGGGCCGATTTCTATGCACGTAAGTTTATAAATATCTCTTCAAACAGCTAGGTTAAGAAAAATATGTGCTACGACACTGTTTGGGGACATCGTCGGGTGTTATTTGTCCTTGGATTCTTTAGTCATTGAATTTTACCAATTTCAACCATTTTAGGTAGTACACATTGGTCGAAAATTTCTTCTTTAGATAAAGTGGCATTCTAGATTTGAATGTGATTGAGTACTATATGTATAGTAACTTAATTCTTCTGTTGATTCCTGGCATTCCTATGTCTTTCATTCTATTGTCATTCCGAATTTCTAGGTTTTACACACTGTATAATATAAATTAACCAGTCCAAAGCCTGTTTAGAATATTTATTTCAGTAAATTATCAAAGGTTATACGGAATATTTATTTCCATAAACCGAATAATAATAATTTAGTCATATATAACGCGTACAACTGACAAATCAAAATATGTCAAGGAATGATTGTAAAATTCAAGATAATTTTTTTCTTTGGAACAACTACAACAATATAAAAAAGCAGATATCGGCAACCCGTTCAAACTTCACAAGAGCTAAAGTACTTATTACTTACCAAAGATTAGTAATTGAATTCCATTTACATATCATTTCCATTAACAAGTACATTACTACAGTAGACGTAACTTTTTTATTAATAAATAATATATAATAAATAATATATTAATAAATAATAATAATATTAATTACTTACTTTGTACAAAGTAGTTGCTTGTTCGCGTAGAACTAAGTCTATTACGTATGTGGTACTATTACCTTATATTTAGTAGTGAAAAAATAAGTTTAATATACAGAAAAAAAAACAAAATGTTACCTATAACTTAATATATTTCGCCTCTAGGAACAAGCGAGCTTACTCTTGATCCAAGCAGGGTTGGGTAGGTAGAAAATTTTAGATTTTCTACCTACCCTACCATTTTTACTCATAATATGCTGCCGAAGTTTCCGGAATACAGTTCGGACCCCCCTGTATAGTCTAATCTGTCATTTTAAACCTCGAAAAAATATAATTTTCTCCCAAAAACACCTTCATAACTCTTTTTTTCTTGTTGTTACAGGCGGCGGCGGTTCGTCGAGCGGCTCCCCCGCTACAGGGGGCTACATGCAGCACCCTAGTCCCGCACCCAGCTCCACGCCCGGCTCGGACGTGTCCGGCCAGCCGGGAGCCCCCAGTCCGGGTGCCTGGGGGGACGTCAAGCCTCAGCAACAGCAAGGAGGAGGCGGAGGAGTGCAGGGAGGCCAGGCGCTGCACGCGCATCCTCCTCCGCATCCTGCCGCGGCGCATCCGGCGGCGCATCATCCCCCTCATCCGCACAACTACCTCCCGCAGTACAGCTGGTATCCTACGGATAATCCTGGACTATTAACGTGAGTAGAGAATTTCGATATTTTTGTTGTTAAACATGTATTTGTATTAAAACGGGTTTTTAAGGCATTTACGAGGGTTGTCCTGTTATATTCTGCATATATAGAGATAAAAAAAAAACAGTAGATAACTCCCCGAAGTATTCTCCCCGAAGAGAAATGTATTTTGCATCTGTTGGAACCAATTCTGAAAGCAGTTATTCCAGTCGCTTGTTGGTACCTTCAAAATTGTCATAAATTGCGTTTTTAAAGGCACTGCCTGCATCTTCCATAGGAACTGAAACCTTTGACCACGCAATTCATTATTCTTAATAAAAACAAAACTCGTTGGGACTGTATGGAGAATAGTCCAACAATTTGATGTCTTCTTGCTTTAAAAACTCAATTCTTTGTTCAAATTTGTCGTTGAGAACGTCCATCGGATGAGTAAATCCAGGATTTATTTCACATCAAATTCGTGTTTTAAGACAGTATACTTTGAAGAGGTGTTTATTAAAGCTTGTTCTAGACTTGTAGAGGTAATTTCCGCAATTAGGAGTCGCTTAGACACACAAATCACTGAAGAAGCTGTTGCACCAAGTTTTGTAAAATTGTTTCTATTACTTTCCTTCGAGGCATTTTTATTCTACTATGTTTATCTAATGTTAATTATCAATAAACACATGTCGCTTTTTGATAAAAGTAGTTTTTATTGAGTTTTATCTCTAATTTTCTTTATAGTATACAAAACTGATGCACCAGGTCTTGTAAAATTGTTTCTATAACTTTTCTTCGGGACATTTTTATTCCAGTGTGTTTACCTAATGTTAATTGTCAAAAAACACATGTCGTTTTTGCTAAAAGTGGCTTTTATTTAGTTTTATCTCTAGTTTTCTTTATAGTATACGACGCTGATGCACCAGGTCTTGTAAAATTGTTTCTGTTAATTTTCTTCGGGACATTTTTGTTCTAATTTGTTTAACTTATGTTAATTATCAAGAAAAACAGGTCGTTTTTTGCTAAAAGTGGTTTTTATTGAGTGTTATCTCTAACTTTCTTTATAGTATACGAAGATGATGCACCAGGTCTTGTAAAATTGTTTCTATTATTCTTCTTCGAGGCATTTTTATTCTAATTTGTTTATCTGATGTTAATTATGAAGAAACACAAGTCATTTTTTGCTAAAAGTGGTTTTTATTGAGTTTTATCCCAAATTTTCTTTATAATACACAAAGCTGATGCACCAGGTCTTGTAAAATTGTTTCTGTTAATTTTCTTCGGGACATTTTTGTTCTAATTTGTTTAACTTATGTTAATTATCAAGAAAGACAGGTCGTTTTTTGCTAAAAGTGGTTTTTATTGAGTTTTATCTCTAATTTTCGAAGTTGATGCACCATATCTTGTCAAATAATCACATTCATCAGCAGCTTCTAAAATAAAGGGGACGCCACTGTCTTTGGAGACGAACGTCTCTGCCTTTAATCGACCACTTCCGGATTCTTCGATTTAATTGGCTTCGTTACAATTACTATTAGTAAATTGCTTCGAAGGGCATTTCCTTCGGTTTGATTATTTCATTGTTGAAAATACAGGCGAGTATTTTTTTAATTTAATTATTTAAGATAACCAGCAAAGCAGAGGGTGTTCAAAGTTATTAAATATGCCGAAAAAAATGCAAAAATGTCTGTTTCGTCGAATAAAAAAAAATCAATTCATGATTTAGGTACTTTATCAGTAGATATATATTATTTCGTATATTTTTCATTTTATTGATTTTATGGAAAGCACTGTTCATTAAAATGTTGTATCCTATGTTATAGGGCTTGTATCTCTCTACAATGTACCGTTTGTGTCCGGGAAGGGTTCATAGTTGCATAGTTGTCGATTTTTTATTAAAGTCGTTTAAAAAAAAGTAAATTTGGTGCACGAAATAAAAAGAAATGAACATCGCCGATACTTTTGTTTGTGTATTTTTAAATTTCTATCACACGAAATTTGCATAGAAAATGCTTAGACGACAATTATTACCTATATGACACACAACGAACTCAGTGTCATTAATGCTCACTGGTCGAATATTCAACTGCTTAACTTTTAACTTTTCGCGCCAGTTCGGCCAACGTATATGGTTGATTAAATGACCAAAGCACGCATAGAAATAAGCATAGCAAACAAACTGGGCGATAATACACTTCCACGCGATTGATTAGTTGGTTAAGTTACAGTGGTCGATTTAGCGACCATCAACCTATAAAAGGTTAATAACTTCAAAAATTGGGACGCCACTGTTCCTTAGCCGTCCTTACTCTCTTCATTTAATAATTTATTTTTTACAAAATTCAACGTTAAAAATTTCCAAAAAAAATCAGAACAAGAGACTAGTTTCCTCTCATCATATCTAGCCAGTGGCGTGCTGCAGATCACCGATACGAACCAGGGGCGGAGGCGCGTTTCTTCCTTTAATTAAATAACGGGTAATTATTGCTCCGGGTTCGTCCCGCAGCGTCACACGTCCACGTCGAGATCGGCCACGCTAATTGCTAGGTTGCCACGAGAAGTTGTTTGAACAAAGTCAGAAGAAGAAGAAGTGAAGAGGAAACGGTCACATAGGGAAGCGCGAGGGTTTTGCGAGACACCGGGTAGATGACCTAGCTATATACAATTAAAATACCAGCAAAAAATGTGATTGTGTCATTGTCAAATTCGATGTCACACTTTGATTACAAAAAATTGAAGGTATCAAACAGAGTAAGGCTGTATTCCGTTGCAAAACCAGGCAAACCAGACCGGTAAACTACGGTAAAGAGCGGTTCCTGAACAACATCGGTTTGATACGGAACGGTTTGGTAAAATACTGGAAACGTGAAAAAATGTTGACGTTTTCTAAATTTCAATACCTTTATTATAAAATTTATCTTTTATACATTTTTAATGTACCTATTCTCTGCTTTTACGTTTGCTTCTTCTTTTCAATGGAGTTTAATATTGAAAAGTACTTTATTAATAAACTGCTAAACTCGTTAGACAGCTCAAGTGAAGATTTGGAGATCCGATATTAAAACAGATCAATAATAAATAAACAAATCTAATCAATATTTATCTTTTTATAGCTCACAAAACATTCACGATTACTTGTTGTCTTGTTTTTCATGTTTTCTTTAAATGTTCCTGACTTTAAGAAACAATGGCTGCATGATAAGTTTAAACGGTTCTAAAAAGTAATTCTATTTAGTTAATGAAATTTATTTGCCTTTACTGCCTACCTCCATTGCTTTGGGATGTAAATACAAAATATTATTACAAATTTTAGAAATTAAATGAGAATTTCACTCGAACTTCCAATATTTGCTCGATTTCTGTCACATAAATGACATTGATTGACAAACAAAACCAGAAAAACCAGCCTTCCCGCGCTGGTTAGTTTGGTGACAGTTATAACCGAATTTTTCAGGAACCGTGTTCCGTAATAAGAAAACTTTCAGGCAACCGATAGGTACGAAACTGAATACACCCTAAAATAATTATGAATTTCACAAGAGTTGATTTTTTGTCATACTTTTTTTTGTACATTCTACTGTAGTATGATAGGTAACGATTTTCGTTGCGTGCTCATAACTGTCAGTCATGTCAAATGTCAAATACACGGGAAGTACGAAACCTATAAAATATCCGTCACGGCGAAATCGTGAACAGTGCAGACCTTAGCAACGAGATACCGTTAAATCTGCGCGAGAATTTACATAAATTATGGAAAATAATTATGAGCACAAAGTTTACAAGCAGAACATTAAGTGTAGCATTATATTTTCAGCACGTAAATTGCCCTCTGTACAGGGTGGGTCAAATTCGACGCTTTTAAATGGATACACCCTTTTCTATAGGAGATAGACAAAAACTAATATCGGTGTCTGGAGCTCAATTTTTGTCAAAAACATGATGATGAAAATTATTTACATTCTTGAAAACTACTCCGTATCTTTAAGATACAAAATACAGGGTGGTCCAAACTGTAGTCGGGAAACTTCGGCAGCATATTCTACAGAAAAAAATAAGTAAAAAAGTTTGTAAAATTTGTATGTCCTAAAATGCTGAGTTTCGGAGATACAGGGTGTAGAGGTTTCATTTTTATTTCGATTTTTTCCAAATAATTTATGAATTAACGTCAATATTTGGTCAAAAAACTCCCAGACACCAATTCTCATCCAAACATTGGCGTTACTTCAGATTTTATTTGGAAAGAATCGAAATAAAAATTAATATTCTACACCCTGTATCTCCGTAACTAACTATTTTAGGACATACGTTTACACGAACTTGTTTACTTATTTTTATCTGCACACACTTCGGACCACCCTGTATATTATCTACTACATTAGTTAAAAATATCAATGATGTGGAGAATTTAAAAATAAATATATTTTTTTCTTGTTTCAGGGTATGGCCAGCCGTTTAATACATGCCCCCCCACCCCCCTGTTAGTTCCCTAAATTACAGAAGAATAAAAAAACTCAGAAGAAGAAAAAAAACATGGAAATAAGAAGAAAAGATCAAGGAAAAAAGACTAAAACCAGTGACCAGTGATCGTGTACATGTTATTTGTTGTATATTCGTTGTTGATTTTTTTCTATCTCGTATTTTAACACTTTTCGTTCCCTTGTCGAACTGTGGTGCGTACGCCTATGGACTATACATTTTTACGTGACCGCGGTTCGAGGAAAATCAGGTTGTGACGCCACTGGAATGAGTGAAATACAGTGGCGTTGGTGTTAATATGTTCCCTGTATGTTTGCTCTCTCGAATGATATCGCTAGTAATCACACAAAACTTTAAAAAAATCAAAGTATTTGTTGAATAATGAATATAATGTGACTATTTTCAATATTTTTTATGTTTAAACAAAATTTTGTGCTGTTTTTAAGTGTTTTAGTAGCGAAATTTAAAGAATGTTGCAAACTACAGTGGCGTAACTATATAAATATTGTGTTTTAATAGGCGTTTTAAATGTAGATACGTAATAGTTTTACTTCAAATTGTTTTTTTTTGGTGCAATATGTGTATATTTGTTAGGTGCATTTTTGACATTCCTTTTTATATGACGTTTGAATCAAAAACAAGTAAAAAAAATCAAACACATTTTGTTAAAAAAAAGATTTTTCAACAAACAATAAAAAATAAAATTAAAAGCCAATTTTTTAAATACACAAAAGTTATACTGATATTAATTTATTTAAAACAAAATTAATATTTAGTGGATTTCACAAAACAATTTTTTTTGAAACAAACGTCACATTTTTTGAAATTAAAATCAAAACAATTTTCAAGTTAACTTGTTTTTATTTTATATTTCTTGAAATTCAAGCCACGTACTAACAACAAGTAGAAAATGTATACTTTAATATATCTTATACAGGGTATATCAAAAGAAAATCAAATTTTATTATTAATATAAAAAAAAAACAAAAAAATTATTATAACTTTTCTTAAACATAAAAAAAACAATATATTTATTTTCATTAAATTATAATATTATTTATTTTCTTTTAGTAAACCTTACTATAAAGTATATTTTAGTAACAATTATTTATACGAGGACTGCTCAAAAATATCACCATTTTTTAAATCATTCCAAGACAATTTATTTTTTGAACAGTCCTCGTAAAAAATGAGTTCCGTTATTTTTTATTTTTCAAAATATTTTTGTTTATTGAACGGTAGATCATTGAAGAAAGAAAGATATACAGGGTGGTCTTCATATATTTTAAAACAAATATACTGCATTGGTCAAAAGTGTAGATATAGTAAACAATAATTCTCCAGATATTTTTTTTTCTGTTGGGTTTAGTTTAAAATACTGTATGATCGAAAAAAAAACGGTGTCAAAGACGGCTGGGAAATGACAATCTCTAACACGAAAAATTAAAAAAAATATCGAATTTTAAACTACACTACAATATAAAAATAAATTACAACCTTTTTAAGCGCCATTAAAAAAGAAAGAAGAGTACGGGCCAAGTAAAAAACGTCTAGGGCTTGACCCCGCCAAAATTATCATCGATTGTTATTTCGCAGCTGTCTCTAACGCTGTTTTTTTTTCGATCATATGGTATTTACGGAAATCTAACCTGGTAATTGGTATATACTGTTCAGGAAATCCAATTTTAGAAAAAAATATACAGGGTGTGTAATAAAAAATTAAAAAACCAGCAAATATTTATTCTAATTTCTATGACTACCTTGTATATCTATTCGTTCCCTGTAAATTACTACAGTAGACTCGTGGTAAAGGAGTTTATAAATAATTTTTGTAAAAAATAAAATAAAATAAATGAACCATAGTGATTCCTCTTGTAATATATTAATTATAAATAATGAAGAAAAATTTGGAAAAAATAACCGTGCGAGTGAATGTGACAGACGGATCATGTACCTTATGTAAAGTAGATTTAAGGATGAAAATTGGGCGTCTTATCTGTCTGGCGGTTTGGCAAAAAGCAGGAAAACGAGATTTATAAATAATAGTAAGAAAAAAATTGACGAAGGAGATGTTTCTAAATGTGTAAAATATATGAAATAACAAACTTTGATTTTTGTGTTTTATTTATGTTTCCAAAATCCTATCAGTTTGAAAATACATTTAATAGTCCAAGAAAAGATCTAAAAACGAAAGATTTTTTTTAAATTCATCCCCGAGAAGGGGAGAAATAAGCAAATAAAATTATTTTTTCGAAATTTCGGAGAAACGGTATGGGCTAGAAAAAAAAGTTCAAATAAAATTTGTAGAGCATCCAATTCTACATAAAAATGATCTCTATACTTTTTTTGCTCACATCAAAATTAACCGAGATATGTTGGCTAGAAGCTAGGGGATGATAGAAATTTAAAAAAAATTTAAGTTGCTAAAAAATTCATACATTTAACAATTTTATTCAATTTGCTTGGAAAATTATAAATTCCAATTAAGATTTTTTTTTAATTCACCCCGAGAAGGGGTGGAAAATATAAATAAAGTGTTTTTCTTTAATTTCGGAGAAAACGGTAAGGACTTTGAAAAAAATTGTCAATAAAAACTATCATCCTACATTCTAGTCACTCTATCTCGGTTAATTTTGATTTGAGAAAAAAAGTATAGAGACCATTTTTATGTAGAATTAAAAGCTCTACAACTTTTATTTGAACTCTTTTTTTATAGTCCTTACCGTTTCTCCGAAATTTTGAAAAAATTATTTTAACCATAGTAACTTATATTGGGACACCCTGTTTATCGCAAACTTTTTGTCTTACATGGTATATATAATACTACAAACCCATACTGGGTACAATAAAACTTTATTTTCACACATTACCTTTAGCAAAGTATCAAATCAACGTAACACTACAATGTTGGGATAGAAAAGAATTCCAAAACATCGATATTACTTACCAATTCGTTGCAATTAATAGTCTTAAATATACTCTTAATAGTACTAATAGGTCGTTCGCCATATTGCCTATAAACAACCATAAAACCAGTGACGGGTTTATGGCTTTTCTGGGTCCATAAAGTGTAACTTCGCAGGAAATTGTTAAAGGCATTGTAACAATCTCGCAATAGGCTATATAATCACTGGTGGCTATAGTTAATAGGCCAATTTTTTCTACAGGGCGTCCCAGATGTATACAGGGTGTTCGGAAAATATCAGAGTTGGGCTACGTCGAGAATAACACGTCGTCAATGTCTAAATTTGGTACAAAAGTTATAGGTATAGTTAAAGTAACACGTTAGGTATATGATTAAAACTTAAACCCATATAATAAACATTTACTAAAAACAGACAATAAATTTGTAAATTTTTGCAAAAATTTGTCAAATCCTGGAAGATAAACCAAGTACCAGAGAGTACTGGACACCTAACAGCAACACTCCAGAAAAGAGTTTTAAGTAAAGATCAAGAACCCGAGACCTACATGAACAGAAATGAAAATAAAACTCAAAAGACTACTGGAAACTGAAGTTTGTCCATCAATTACATTAGTAAATTTTTCAAACTGCGACATTAAAATTAAAACGACCTCAAAAAATTTATTAAAAAAAATAAAAGTGTCATTGTTAGTTAGGTAATATTATTCTGTGAATTACTGTAAAAACTTTTTAATAAACATTTAAATAAGAATTTCAATTCGATTGTAAAAAAATGCTGTGTGCAACATGTACAAAAAGCATATTTGTTGCACTCCGCATGATAGCGTTAAACTCATGCAACAATAAATATGTCCTTTTTTTATTAGTTACACAAATAACTATTAGTATTCACACTTTGGAGAGTAAAATATACGTGGATCAACATTTTTGAATGTTCCAATGACAGTCTAGAAGTGAGTGTATCCCCAGTTTGCGAATAATCATTAAAATGAAGTAATAAAAGCTTGTTTAACTCTTTTTTACAAAATTTTGCAAATATTTACCTCTAATAAAAAAATGTAATTTAATATCCCTCCCAGAAAAAAAATTATAGATATGTCAAAATGTTGTAAAAAATAAAATTGTCACAAAAGGAATTAACATAGTACTTTTACTTAGCTTAAACCATACACTAACGAGAACAGTAATAATTGTTCTATCTAGGTGACATTTTAACCTTCATCAAAAATAGCTAAAAAAACAAGCGCCCAAAAAATTAATTTCCTCACTAAGCGAATGTAACTAAGCTTCAAGACGTTTATATATTCTGAATCTACATAAAATTTCCTACAAATGATCAAATTTTCATAATTTTCTGGCTATGTTTACTATGTTTCTGAGGCCTTTGAAAATGTGTAAAACAATAGCTAACAATGGGCATTTTTTCGACTTTTTTCCATAATATAGTCATGAAAATTGGCGATTTTATTAAAACTGCTGTTATTTACTAATTAAAAGGTAAAGAATAATAAACTATAGGCCATTGTAGTCTTACGTGAACAGTAATAGATGTAAGGGACGTTTTAACCATCATCAAAAATACACCAAAAATAACGGTTCAGGAAATTAATTTTTTCACAAAACCAAACTGTCTAGTCCTTTAAAGGTGTATATATACATAAAATTTACTACAAATACTGATATTTTCAAAATTTTAGGACCACGTTTACAATCTTGTAGTCTTACAAGAACCAGAGGCTCTGTAAAAACTGTTGAAATCTCAGAAACTTCAAAAATACAGCTGAAAATCTAAAAAAACAGCATGGGAATAAGTAGATCAATTTTCATTTTCTCTAAAAAAAATTTTGGTGCTTTCATTTCTCCATTTAAAGGAAATAATATTGGCGCCATTGCCGCAAAACTCGGTGGAGTGAACAACACGCAAAAGGAGAAACGTCACGATCCAGGCAGGGGTGGAGAATCAGGGAAAACGGTATAGTCAGGGGTGTAGAAGGAAGGGAGGGGTGGTAGCAAATTATAGGGCCTTTTCTGGTGCTGGGAGAAGCGCTCGCTTTAGCAGAAGAACTCGACAACGAACTTGTGACTGGAATATGAAAAATCATTATTGAGGGG